ACGGCGAAGCGGTACGCACAAAAGTGCCGACCAACACGACAGATCAGTCTATTGGTGTGCAAGACGGAGTGCAACAGGCACGCAAAATCCTGAAAGAGAAGTACAACTGGGATGGAAAGTTCGAGTACATACACCATGGCACAACCACAGGTACCAATGCGGTGCTCGAAGGCAAAGGCGCCAAATGCGGTCTCATCGTCACCAAGGGTCACAAGGACATACTGTCCACACGACGAAGCCAGATACCAGGCGGGTTAGGCTCATGGATGCACTACGAACAGCCCGACCCTCTCGTGCCTCTCGAGAGGACTGTAGAAGTCAAAGAGCGTATCAAGATTGACGGTGAAGTCTTCTACGAGCTGGATGAGGACGAATTACGAAAGGACTTGCAGGATCTGAAGAGACAACAACCGCAAGCAATCGCCGTATCTCTGATCAATTCCTTCGCCAATAGCGCGCATGAAGAACGCATCAGGGCCATATTGAGCAGCGAGTTTGGGCCAGATGTCGAGATCGTCACTTCCACAGATGTACTACCGGAGATCCAAGAATATGAGCGTACCGTCACGACAGCCGCCAACGCCATCGTCAAACCGGTGGTAAAGAGTTATATGCAGAACCTGCAAAAGAAGCTCGAGAAAGACACAGACACGATCCGCATCTTGAAATCCGACGGTGACCTGACTTCAACCCAACTTGCTGGCGAGACACCGGTGCGCATCCTCATGAGTGGGCCAGCAGGTGGCGTCAAGGCTGTTTCTCATCTCATCGCGAAGAACACGCCCTACAAGAATCTCATTACGTTCGACATGGGCGGAACTTCCACGGACTGCGCTCTACTTCCGGGAAGCGATGCCATCATCCGACGAGAGACCGCGATCGGTCACCTATCAGTACGAGCACCCAGCGTGGATGTTAATACTGTAGGAGCCGGCGGTGGCTCTATCGCGATATTCAATGACTTCACGAAGACTCTACGTGTTGGGCCTGAATCTAGTGGCGCCACACCTGGACCTGCAGCTTACGGAAAAGGTGGCACTCAAGCGACTGTGACCGATGCAAACTTGGCGTTAGGTCGCCTTCCATCGAAACTGCTCGGTGGAAAGTTCCAGTTGGATGTCGCCGCATCTACAGCTGCAGTCGAATCGATCGCCAAGCAAATGGGTCTTGATACAGCTTCCGCAGCTGAGGGCATTATCGACCTGGTAAATGAATCCATGCACGGTGCTTTGCGGCTGGTATCTGTCGAGCAAGGCTACGATCCACGCAACTTTGCGTTGGTTGCCCTCGGCGGTGCTGGCCCACTTCATGGTAACGCTCTTGGTCAGCTTCTTGGTTCCTGGCCTGTTATTGTTCCTCCTTCCCCCGGTGTGCTCTGTGCGCAAGGCGATGCTATTACGAAGATGTCGCATGAGCAGAGTTGCACATACATTCGCGCATTCTCTGAGACAACCGAAGAAGAACTCAAAGAAACATTGCTCGATCTCAAGGCCGGCGGTGTGAAGACAATGAAGACTTCGCTTGCGGACGATAACGCTTCTCTTCATGTCGTATACCAAGCAGATATGCGCTACAAGGGTCAAGCCATGACGCTCACTGTTGATTTGAGTTCTGATGAGTTTGACAACTCAGATAAGCTTGTGGACATCTTCCGTTCCAAATTCAACGAGGCCCACCAACATCAGTTCGGCTTCTCACACGCGAATGCTGAGATGGAGACAATGCGCTTGCGTGCTAAAGTCATCGACGCTTCCGAAGAGGTGGCTTTCAAACCTCTGGAAGATGCCGATACTTCTGAACCTTGCGAAGACGCCATCACAGCTAAGCAAATTATTGTCTGGAATGGTAAGAAAGTCGAGGCAACTTTCTGGGATCGATACAAGATCGGAGGAGCTGGTAAAATCATTCATGGCCCAGCGGTTGTTACTGAGATGGACTCGAACACACTCATTCTTCCTGGATTTTACGGAAAGATCGACTCCATGGGCAACATACTCATCTGGCCCACTGAGAAGAAGGAACACGGAAAGACCGTTCACACTAAAGAGTCGGCGCAAGAATTGATTGAAGAGCAGCCCATTATCGCTACTCTGATCGCCTCTGCACTGGGGTCTATTAGACGAGAAATGGATGCTCTTCTGCTTCGTTGCGCCATGAGCCCGGCTATTCGGGAGCAACAAGACGAATTCAATGTCATCACCAACACACGTGGCCAGATGCTCGTCGGTCAATTTGGGTCTTTCATACAGCAGTTCCTAGACGGTTGGGACGGCACAGTCGAAGAAGGTGACGTGTTCGTCACAAACGATGTATACCAGACGGATGGCGCCGTATCGCATCTCAACGACGTCATCGTAGTACTCCCCATCTACTACGAGCATAATCTCATAGGTTGGGCCGCAAACTTCGGTCACATAACCGATGTGCAAGGAAAGGTACCAGGCTCCATGAGCATCAACGCCAGCACCATCTATGAAGACGGCATTCAAATACCCATCGTCAAGCTGTACACAAAAGGTGTCTACAACGAAACTCTAGCGACGGTACTCTTCCGCAATTCCCGTGCACCAGACTGGTTTCAAAGTGACCTCATGGCGCTCGTTACCGCTTGCCGCACAGCTGCCACGCGTGTCACCGAACTATGCGAGCGCTACAGTCTGGAGGTATACGAGGCAGCTGCGGATTACCTACTGGAGCAGAACAAACTTGCCATTAGCAGGATCATCAATGACAAGATCAGCGATGAGGTGTCAAGCTTCACCGATTTCATCGACGACGATGGTCAAGGAGTTGGTCCATACGCCATCACTTGTTCCATGAAGAAGGAGAACGGGAAGCTTATTTTCGATTGGGATGGCACTTCGCCGCAGTCGAACAGTTCGATGAACTTCTATCTGTCTATTACGTTGTTCAAGATGTTCATCGGTTACCATTTGCTCGCCATCTACGATCCGTATGCTGTAAGTAGATCATGTGCGCCAGATTATCACGAAACGTAACTAATTCTGGTAGGTGGTGAACGATGGATTCCATGACTTGCTAGACATCAAGATTCCGGCTGGTACCATCCTCCGTCCCGTGCGTCCAGCAGCCGTCAGTTGCCGCACTCATCTCCTCGGTCGCATCATGGACGTTTTGCAAGCGCTGTTTGGCCAACAAAACCCCGCCTACCGTTGCGCAGCAGGTTTCTCCGACTCACCACATCTCTTCTACTCTGGTTTCAAGCCCGATGGCGAATTTTACTTGCTCTACCAAATCGGATTCGGTGGCGTGCCCGCGCGACCAATCGGTGATGGGCCGGACTGCCACTGTCTCTTCCCAGCTATCAAGTCCATCCCAGCTGAGAACATCGAGCTCTACTATCCCGTCATCATCGAAGCCAACGAGGCATTGCCAGATTCTGGTGGCGCTGGCTTCTACCGTGGCGGTAATGCACAGAGAACGTTGTACAGATGGCTATGCGAAGGCGATGTCAGCACGCACGACGACCGATGGTTGACCAAGGCCTGGGGCGTGAACGGCGGAAAGCCTGGTAGCAGATCGAGGAAGGTTGTCTACCGAAACAACAGCTATGGTACACCAGCCGAGAAGGACAACATGGAATTCTGTCAATCGAAGCAAGATTTCATACATGTCTACCCAGGTAAGTCGCACTCATTGTTCGCGTGCGTGGACTACAATTGTAAACTAACACCCCCAGGCGACGTACTAGAATGGATAACCTGGGGCGGCGGCGGCCTCGGCGACCCCTTGACCCGCCCACCCGAACGCGTAGCACAAGAAGTCCACCGCCGCCTCGTCACCCCCGAAGGTGCCGCAGAGAACTATGGTGTCGTCGTCGATCCGCACGACTTCACATTCGATAAATTCGCTACATCTACCCTTCGCAGCAAGAAACGTGAGGCGCGTGCCAAAGAGGGCGTCTATAGCACCGACAATACGATTGACCGCGGTGGCACTCTGAGCGAGCTGATGCGCAAGTGTGAGGAGGAGACGGGACTCAAGGCACCGGTGCCGCAGTGGGAGAAGAGAATTTATGGTCCGCATGCTGGGTTGGAGTATGTGAGGAAGTGGTACGAGACTATGAAGAAGGAGGGGACGCAGAGGTGGGATAGGGCTTAGGGTGGTTTGGTGCTCTGGGTGTAGCGGGTTCGTAGCTATGTAGCGTGGATTAATGGTAACATACATTATCCCGCTTTACCTCCATGTCAATTTTCGACTTGCGAAGACAGCTCCGGATACCTCGCCTCTAAGAATTTGAGCATCTCATCATCGTAATACTTCCAGCTCTCTGGTGGTACAAACCCTGCGATGGCACGTATATTTGGACGGTTGGTTTGAGCTAAGATCCGTGCAAATCCCGACAGTCGCCTTGCAGCGTTCAGAGCGTAAAGTTGTACGATTGTACGATCTCGAAAACGGTGTTGCTCTGGGTAAGCTTTGTCGGCGAAGATGTACTGATGGCGTAATGAAAAGCTCTCGACGACCGTCATCTCAGTGGTGTAATGATTGAACGGAGGAGATAAGGGATTTAGCGGAGTCTCGGCTTCGTCCTTCAATGAACTAGTCACCTCGAAGCCAGCATAGTCGATGAGAAGGTCTGGGAAGGGCGACGGCTCGACGCGGTCAGTGTTCAGCGATACCACCCAGGATGTTTTATCGCCGACCAAGCGGTTTCCTAGCAATGTAGACGTAGAGTCAGTCTTCGCGTGTGGGAGAAGCGCATCCGGAAGACTACAAGGGGCGATGTCAATCCCAACACGCATCCATTTAGCCAGTTCCTGTGGAAGATGTTCCCAATGCTTGATGTCCATAAGTAGGTGACCTTGCTTCAGAATGAAAGTCTGGTATGGGAACACAGAGTATGCTTTATTCCAGGTAACGAAGTTGACGTCGCAAGTCAAGTCCAAGTTCAATATTTTGAAGAGAGGAGTATATTCCGTCTCTCGAATGTAGACGGTTTGACAGCCCTTGACGGTATCACGTTCCATGAATGGGTGCTAAACCTGCGGTCAGCTACTTCAAGTACGGCAAAAGCTCGTCGATGCGACAACAGAGCACCTACGTTTGGGATGGAGCTGTCCTTGACCCTGTAACCCTCGTTCTCGAGAAACGATCTCAGGGCCTCGGCATGCGGGCCTTTCTCCACTAAGAGCCTGTCCAGCATAGTCGTAGGGATATCAAACAAGTGGAAGTTGAGCGGTATTCTCAGCATGAAGCCGAACGCAAAAGATCCGCTGATAAGGATGTTGTGCTTCGCCTGTAGCGAGCGAAACGCGTTCGGACTTGTCACAAACACCTTCAGCTTTTCGTTGATATTAAACTGCGTTCGCTCGACCAGGCGCACATAATCACTAAACGCCTTTGCGGCGCGTGAGAGTGCGATGATATCCCCGATGTCGAGATGGCGCAACACGCTGTCCTGGACTGGTGTGAAGCGCGTCAATAGATCAGCTAGACCTGTACAGTCAGATGGCATGTCTTCAGGTGTGTCTGATCGCCTATGTATGCGAAGAGTCAAGTACAGACGGTCGAGGTGTAGCTTTAGTGGGATATGTCGTCTCTTCTATATAGGTATCGAGCTTGCTGCTCAAGCGACGCTGCGAATTGCTGTGTTGTCATTTTACCTTAGCAATCTATGGGGCTTCCTTCTCCTTGGTCATCTGATCCAAACCTTCGTCGAGCTGGATGTTCTACAACACATCATCCACTTCGTCAATAATCTGCACCTTGATACTGCCATTGCTCAGATCCCCACACGTATGCAGCGCATCAAGCGCCTTCTCCAACGGAAACGTATGACTGACAAGTGGCTTGAGATCAAGGATACCACCCGCCAAACACTGAAGACCAGAAGGCCAAGTATCGCGATAGCGATTAATGAACTTGAGATCAATCTACAACAGTCATTAGCAAACACAGTTTCAAACTCGCCCACAGACGTGAAAGTCATGGAGTGCAGTCCACCTACCTCAGCAAGACTCAAATGCATGAACGGCAAATTATTCATAATCTCCCTCCCGACCCCAATCACCATGACCGTGCCCCCTCTCCGCGCCGTATACGCAGCTGTAACAACACTACTCTCCACACCCGTGCACTCTAGCACAGTCTCCGGTGCACCATACTCACCTCCATTCTCGAAGTCGAACAGCTCTCTAATCTTCTTTGCATTGCCCTGCGCGTCTAGATTGCGGTCGACCTGGTATATGAAGGCCGTTGGTACAAATTGCTTTGCGAATGCCAGGCGCTTAGGTTCGAGATCCGTGATAACGAGGGGATGAGCTCCGCTTGCTCTCGCTGCAGCGAGGGCGATGAGACCGATAGGGCCTGCGCCGCAAATTACTGCACCGCGTCCGAGAGACAGGCCGGCGGACTTGATACCATGCATGACGACGGAGAGTGGCTCGAGAAGTGCGGCTTCGGCGTAGGATACGCTCAAGGGAAGTTTGTGGCACCATTTTGCGGGATGCGTTTTGTAGCGTTGGATCGTGCCGTGGTATGGGTAGACGCCGGCGAACTGGACGTCTTCACATAGGTTGTAGCGACCGTCCATGCATAGGAAGCATGTGCCGCATGGAACGCCTGGTTCGACTGCTACGCGGTCGCCTAAGATATATGTTAGTCGTGATCTTGAACTCAGAGAGGTGAATCTACCAGGCTTCAAAGTCGTAACACCTTCACCGCATTGTAAAACTATGCCAGCTGCTTCATGACCGAGGATACAATCTCCTTCGACGACGAGCGAGCCTATTCTCCCAGCTTTCCAGAAATGGATGTCAGATCTTGTGGGCTGTTAACAGTCTGGATATGCCTGTCACGCTGAACCTCCTTACCCACAAACACCCGTGGCCTTGATATGCAACAGTACTTCTCCCTTAGCTGGCGCATACACAGGCGCTTCTTGCAGTTTCAAGTTGTGGTCCGCAGTGACTTGCAGCGAGGGATTTGGCAGCAGTGTCTTGATAGTAGGTTTCGGTGTCGCATGTGCTTCGGAAGCGGAAGACGTATCTACCAGTGCTGGGGCCATGTTCACTTGTCGCGGTGTGAAACTCGATCACCGCCAGTAAGAGCAACTGCTGTCAACGTAGGACAGAAGGGCTATGATGTATCAACTAGCCCCACATGTTCAGCGCGCCAAATTGCCATTGTTGCCAAAGTGGAAATCCCATCCCTCAATCTGGAGACCGGAATGCGCAATAGTCGTGGCAAAATGCGGGGAAACGTCCAGCGGGACTGACGACGTAGTGTGTTGGTGGCTCTGGTTACCGTATTCGTCTAGTCTGGAGTCCTGTCGCCCAATAGGAATCGAAGACATCGAGCTTGCCTCCGCAATAGCGACGCGTCGGATTACCGGATGTGGCATGCCCGGCGAAATGTTCTGGATATACGTCGAAGATTAGTTTTCGAAGCAGCACGCGGTGTACTTATGTATGATGCGTCTCCTGATGTTGTTTGATCTGTAGAACTACTAATGTTTGTATTGTGAAGTTCGCAACTCGCAAGTTTCCGCACAACCTCACATAATGCATACCTCGCAAGATTCACCGCAGGTCGGCGGCTCGACCGGTTACGGCAAGAATGTCGTAGATGGACTGAAGAAAGAGGCGAAACTGGAACAGTCGTCTGTCCAGAAGTTATCGAAAGAGCAGGATCACGTCTTGAAGACGTTCAGGCTGCTCATCGCGGATCTATGCCAGCAATTCAATGGCGGGCATCCCGGGTAAGATCCATAACCACATCTTGTAAGCGTGGAACTGACGATGCGACAGAGGAGCTATTGGTATGGCGGCCATCGGTGTTGCGCTGTGGAAATACGTTATGCGATATGCACCGCACACGCCTGACTACTTCAACCGAGACCGATTCGTCCTGTCAAATGGTCACACTTGTCTTTTCCAATACACCTTCCTTCATCTCACAGGCTACAAAGCCATGACTTTCGACCAGTTAAAGTCGTACCACTCAGAGCGCGTCGACGCGTTGTGCCCAGGACATCCCGAGATCGAGCATGAAGGTATCGAGGTGACGACTGGCCCATTAGGACAGGGTGTAGCCAATGCGGTCGGACTGGCGATGGCGACGAAGAATCTCCAAGCAATCTACAACAAACCGAATTTCGACGTTGTGTCGAATCACACGTGGTGTATGATTGGGGACGCGTGTCTGCAGGAAGGTGTGGCTCTGGAAGCAATCTCTTTCGCTGGCCATCTGAAGCTGAACAACCTTACGATCATCTACGATAACAACCAAGTTACCTGCGACGGTTCAGTCGATCTCACCAACACCGAGGACGTCAACGCCAAGATGGCAGCATGTGGTTGGGATATCATCGACATCGAGGATGGGTGTTTTGACATTGAGGGCCTGGTCGAAGCCCTGAACAAAGCGCGATCATCCACCGAGAAGCCCACATTCATCAACGTCCGGACAGTGATTGGTCTTGGTAGTGCTGTTGCAGGCGATGCGACTGCACATGGTATGGCATTCGGAGCAGCTGATGTAGCCAACATGAAGAAAGCGTACGGCTTCAACCCTGAGGAACATTTCGTTGTCAGCGAAGAGGTGCGTAAGTTCTTCGGAGACATTCCCACGAGGGGCGAGGAGCTTGTGAAGTCGTGGGAGAAGAAAGTAGAAGAGTACCAGAGCAAGTACCCGGAAGAGGGCGCTGACTTCAAACGCCGCGTCGAAGGTCGCTTGACGGACAACTGGAAGGATTTGGTCCCCAGTTCATTTCCTGAGGCGCCTACAGCGACAAGGAAAGCGTCAGGCCTTGTCTTCAACACAATTGCTGAGAAGATCAACAACTTCATGGTCGGCACCGCTGATCTTACGCCTTCAGTCAACATGAACTGGAAAGGCAAGATCGACTTCCAAAATGTAAGGCATGCCCTCATCCAGCTCAATGCGAGGTTGCTAACCCTCCGTAGCCTGACTTGAAGACCACATGCGGCATTGTCGGCAACTACAGCGGACGTTATATCCACTATGGTGTGCGAGAGCATGCCATGGCCGCCATCTCCAACGGTTTGGCAGCATACGCACCAAACACCTTTATCCCAGTTACATCTTCTTTCTTCATGTTCTACCTTTATGCTGCCCCAGCCGTTCGCATGGGTGCGCTGCAACGCCTCCAGGTCATACATGCGGCCACACACGACAGCATCGGAATGGGCGAAGATGGCCCAACCCATCAGCCGATCGAACTTGCCAATCTCTACCGCGCTATGCCCAATATATTGTACATTCGACCGGCCGATAGCGAGGAGACGGCAGGCGCGTGGATTACAGCGATCGAGGCGAAGAACACACCGAGCATCATCTCGACGTCTCGGCATACTCTGCCTCAACTACCGCAAACGAAGCGGGATTTGGTCGCGAAGGGCGCGTACGTGATCGACGAGGTTGAGGACGCGGATGTGACGCTTATTGGTGTCGGCGCAGAACTGCACCATGCCGTTGACACAGCGAAGGAGCTAAAGGCGAAGAATATCAAGGCGCGTGTCGTGAGCTTCCCATGTCAGCGATTGTTCGATGCCCAACCCACACAATACAAGCGGGAGACGCTGCAAAGGCATCGTGGGATCCCGGCTGTTGTCATTGAGCCGTTCGCGCCGAACGGGTGGGAGAGGTATGCCGATGCGGCCTGCTGCATGAAGCGCTTTGGCCACAGTTTGCCGGGCAAAGCTGCTTATAAGTACTTCGGATTCGATGTGCCTGCGTTGACGGCCAAGGTGGAGAGCTATTTGCAGCAGGTGCGCGACGACCCGCTGCTGAAGGGCGAGTTTGTGGATTTATGAGGCTGGTGTAATGCAGATTGAGTAGTTATGCAATTGTATATCCAACCATACTATTTCTCTACCGAATGGGCATGGGTGTCGTCTGGGCTCGTTGCCGCGATTGAGGTGGTGGAGCATGTCAGGAGGGTGCACGACGCGTGGAGCGTCCCGCGCCTGCTCACGTGATCCGCTAGCAGGCCCACCAGAGCACTTGCTCTGTCTTTCGCGCTTAAGCCTAAGAGGTCTTTTTACGTACTTTAGTTATATATATTAAAAAAGAAGATATTTAGTAATAGTAGTTTACTAAGTTTATCTAAAGTAGTTATTTTTATATATACTTATAGTAGCTAAAAATAACTTTATAATAAATATATAATAAGTTATTATAATAGCTTATAAAGTAAAAATAGCTTATATAAAACTAAAGTTAAAGCTTAAATAATATATTTATAAAAGCGCGTTTACTACTATTTTTATTTTTTTATTATAATTATAAATATTTTATACTTTTAAAATTTTTTTAACTACTATTTTTTTATTCTTACTAATAACTAAGTAGCTTATATTACTTTTTTAGTTTTTACTTTAAATTTTAAACTTAATATAATTTACTATAAAGCTTTATTTACTAAAAAGCTATTAAAAGTATATATATATATATAAAAGAGCTAGTAAATACTTTATAAGCTTAAAGTAATAG